CCACCATCCCCATCCCCATCATCACCACCATCCCCATCGCCACCACCTTCAAACACCAGCCAGCTGGATGCCCCTGGTGGGAGCGGTCTCCCTGCTGCCCGCTCTGTGCCCTTCTGAGCAGGGCTCCTTCCAGGGAGCCCCATTGGTCCTCGGCTGCACAACCAGGGCCAGTGCTATGACTTCTGCTCCCCAGGGGGCCCCAGAGGAGGAGGTGCCCTTGGACGTGCAGGCCCAGGTAGCCTGGCGTTTGAAGCCGTGTGGTCAGGGGCAGGGGAGACGTGCTGGGAGCGGGTTGGAGGACGGCTCTGTTCCTGGGTCTTAGAGGAACTTGTGCTGATTGTAATCGCCTGTAATCTCTTGCCCAAAATAACCCAAAGTCACGTTACGGAGGGATTACAGGCCTAAAGCACCTTTATCGCAGGTGCCGGCAGGGAGAGGCGGGGCTCCAGGCCACCCTGAGCCCCAGCTGCGGTCAGGAGCCTCTAGGCAGCTGCCAGGCGGTGCCAGGGGCCCTGAGGCCAGGGGCTGTGTCCATGTGCGCCCACCGTGTACATGAGGAGACGGGCTGAAGGAGAGGAGCTGGGCACGCCCCGCTGGGGGGCAGCTGGGAGGGACCCACAGCGGCTCTGGAGCGGGAGGAGCAGGGCTGTGGTAGCCACCGGGCGTCCCTTCACCACATGGTCAGTCCCCAGCCTGTGTGAGGACATCTGTGTGGGAGGCCGATGGGGTACGTGTGTGCTATGATGCCTGGGTATCTCTGTGATGTCTGTGTGAACAGCAGGCCTTGCACCCCATCCCCACCCCCCAGGTCCTGGTGGGCGATACGAGAGGCCTCCTCTTCTTGCTCTGCCCCCACCCTGCTCCTGGCCCCCGCGCGACGTTGAGGAATCTGCGTCTGGGACCTGATGTTGGAGTGGTGCTGGGGACATGGCCTCTCTCTGCCCTGGAAGGGGTGCTGGGGGCAGGTGAGGGTAGGTCCCCGCCCAGGGCTGCCACGTTCTGTTCTGGTCCGCTGTCTCCTCCCTCAGATCCCGGCCTGAGCAAGGCCAGCCTTGTCTGAGGGGGGTTATCCAGGTGGCCAGCCTGGCAGTGTGGAGGTTTGAGGGGGAGTTTTGAGGGGGTGTGGGCTTGAACCCTCTGCTGCAGGGACAGGCTGGGAGGGTCCTGAATGGATAGAGCCCCAAGATCCAGTCTCAATATGTGTGCAGCCACTACCTACTCACTCACTCATCCACTCACTCATTCCCTCGCTCACTCATTCATTCATCCACTCACTCATTCCCTTCCACACTCATTCATCCATCTACTCACTCATTCCCTTGCTCACTCATTCATCCATCCACTCACTCATTCCCTTCC